CGTGCTTCGTCAATGGCGTCTTCGTCACTCGTCCGCATCTCCGTCGTCAATGCTCAATAGTCCACAACTCTGTCACTCGTTGAAGAGAAGAGAAGCTGCTTGACTCTACGTTGATTTATTTGGGGAGAATTTGACTTTGCACCCCATGTTTTGGGTGATATTTGAGTTTGCACCCTATTTTCAAAATCATTAATGTATGCACCCCAATTCACTATAAAATTATTTGACTTTGCACCCCACTCCTTCAAAATTTTTGGGCTAATGGGGTGCATACATTAATGATTTTAAAAATGGGGTGCAAAGTCAAATATCACCCAAAACATGGGGTGCAAACTCAAATTCTCCCATTTATTTGATTAGGGATTTAGGCCTCTACTTGGGAGAACTAGAGAAGGGCCGTAGTATTATAAGATGGGTTATTTTAATTTTGGGCCTGGTATTTTAATAACTTCATTTAATGGGTTTGGCCCTAAAAATTTACAAATTCTATTTCGGTATATCGGTATTTCGGTATATACCGTACCATACCGAAAATCAACGGTATTTTGGTATATACCGAAATATCGAAAATTTAAAAAATCCATACCTTTACCGTACCGAAATGACCCGGTATGGTATCATACCGTACCGAACTTTTCGGTATACCGAAAATTTCGATAAATTCAGTATTTTTCGGTATGGTATGGCCGGTATACCGAAATTTTGATATATATTCCCACCCCTACCAGTGCTTATACCCTGGGATCGGTGCATGGTGAGTACGATGCACTCTTTGTTATTTTCTATTTCTCCTTTTCTTATAATTGTTAATAATTTTTTTATTTTTGATCTGATTTTTATAAAAATTATATCAAAATTTTTTATTTTTCATGATCTTTCAAATGAGACCAACATTGCCTATGTAATTTTAATTTTTTACATTCATACATTTTTTGTAATATATTTTTATATGCATACACTTTTTCTATAATATATTTTTTTTATCACTTTTATATGATTTTAGAGGTTTTTAAGATATTGAGTTTGTTTATTTTGCTTCTAGCTTGGAGTTACATTTGATAATATACGAAGTTACATCATCTTATACTCCAGTTACAAGTTATTATATGTGAGTTACATCTTCTTATGTGTGAGTTACATCTTGCTATACACGAGTTACATACTTTTATGCGAGAGTTACATGTAATTATGTGTGAGTTACATCTTGTTATACACGAGTTACATACATTTATGCGCGAGTTACATGTAATTATGGGTGAGTTATATCTAATTATTTATGATTTTTTACTTTATCTTTATCTTGAACTAATTCAATTATAACTGAATTAGTTTTTTTCTTTGCCAATTTAATACAAAATTTTATTAATCCACATAAAATAAGTATATTGTATTTCATATTCATACACTATTTTTCAAATGATAAAAATGAAAGATGTAGCAGGGGTTTATTTCATAGTGTAACTCACATACATTAAGATGTAACTCGTGTATATTAAGATGTAACTCGCGTACAATAAGATGTAACTCGCGCAGAAGAAGATGTAATTTCATGATATATTATCAAATGTAACTTCAAAATAATTTGTTAAAATTACATAAGCAATATTAGTCTCATTTGATAGATCATGAAAAATAAAAAAATATTGATATAAAATTTATAAAAATCGGATATCAAATAAAAAAGTTATTACAATTTTTAACAATAAAACAAATAAAAAAAATGAATGGTGCGTCGTTTTGGGATCGGGCACACCATCCTCATGGTGCGCCGATCCCAGGATATAAACTGCGAAGATTACCGTAGAAAATGATGATGACATTAATGAATTTATTAACGAGCTCGATGAGGAAAACCCTCCTGATAATATGTAATTGTATGACAATTTCATTTTTAATTGCTACTTGATGTCGCTTTATCATGTACTCCCTCTGTTCCTAAATAAACTTTCATCTTTCCTTTTTCGTCTGTTCCAATTAAAACTTTCACTTTCCCTTTTTGTTAAAGAATTTGTGGTTCACAACATTTCTTACACATTTCTCTCTCCTCTGCACAACTCTCCACCACACAATATCCACTATCTTAAACTTTGTGCCAAACTCATTTGGAAGTTAAAATGGGAACGGAGGTAGTATTTGCTTTTCATGACAATATCTCTTTAATTTTAGTACAATTTAAATTTTTGTTTAATTCCTGCCTTTTTATTGAAAAAACATGCAATTTTATTTGCGGTTTTTTAATGTATTGTTGTGTAAATTCGTGACAAATGGAAAATTTTAAATTTTTATTTGAGCTAAACTTTGTCACGAAACTTGTCTGTGACAAAGGTGAAATATTCAAAAAAAATGGGCAGCTACTTTTCTCACGGATCCAATCCGTGGCAAAGAAGAAATAATCAAAAACAAATGTTCGGTTATATTTTGTCACGGATCCAGTCCGTGACAATGATAAAAAATTCAAAAATAAAAATGGGCGGCTAAAGATTTGTCATGGATCGTGTCCGTGACAAAGAGGAAAAAATCGAATTTATTTTGGGCGGCTAAACTTTGTCACGGATCTAGCTAGTCCGTGACAATTAAATATATATCGCCGGACGCCAAGGCCCTTTTGACAGGGAAGTTCACCCGTGACAATGCCGTGACAAATGCTTGTCACGGACGGGGTGTCGTTACAAACATTTGTCAGGCCTGTAGTGTCGCGGATTTTGTCACGAACAAAATCCGTGACAAAATTTTTTGTTAGTGCTTTTTTAAATAACGATATGTGACAAAATCCGTGACAAATGAGCTGTTTTTTGTAGTGGGAGGAGGAGGTACCTGGAATTCGCGATGGTGGAAGCGGCAGTGGTGAAAAAGAGGTGTAGAATCGCCGGAAAGAGGGGCGAATTCCATGTCTTGGCGTAGGAGTGCTGCACAGGGGGATCTGTGAGCGAGGCTTGCTGTGTAGGAGAAGAGTCACAGACGTACATGAGATATAATTGGAATTAGGGTTTCGGTATTATTATATAGGAGGACATAATGGTAATGCGGAGTCCTATTTAGGTAATTAAAAATGTGTAATCCTATTTAGAGACTTAAGTTTAGTTTTAGTCGTATAGGACAATTACTATTAAAAAATACAGAAAACGGAGTAGGATTTTCTTTTGCTGAAAGCCAATTATAATTCGATCTTCTATTCTTAAAGAAAAAAGGATAACACCTCATTCATCAGGGTCCCCTAACACCGGTTGAACGGTTAGATTGGAGGATGTAAATTGGACTTTAATCACAAGCTACATATAGAGAGTGGGGTTTTGGCCCTCCTATGAGAGGATCTTCTATTCTTCATCTTATCTTTTTTTCTTTTCTGGTGTGTACCTTCTCATATCCTTGACCCAACCCCAGGAGTGCATGTTGTAAGAGATCCTGGTCAGAAACTGGGGAATTAATTGAGGTCAGGGATTCAGCTATTTTCCGGATTTCAAGTAAATATCGGTCCATGGTCTAATTGTCTTTCTTTTTCATGTGAGTCAGCATTTGTTTTCATTCCATGAATCGAGCCAGACTTGCAGCCATAACACGAGCCTCCAAACGTTCCCATATGGCTGTAGAATTCTTTAATTGATGCACCTCAACAAGGATATCACGAGAAACAGTAGCAAACAACCAAGAACGAACAGTCTAATCCAATTTCAGCCAATGATAATACTCTGGATTCATGGTTTGTATGTGATATAAATCATAGGTATATAACAGCGGGGCAGGTAAGGATCCATCATGTATACCCAAAAGGCCATTAGACACCAGGAATGAGTCAAAGTGAGTACGCCAGGGTAAGTAATCTTCAACGCTCAGTAATTTAATTGTCACAATAATTGTGATAGAAGAGGCGCCAAAACCCATACCTTGACCAAGAGATGCAAACGATGTAGGCATGGGAGGTACTTCCCGGCGTCCAACCGGCCCGGCGGATGATGCGGAAGTAATCCGGGACTGCCGGATAAAGTTGGACCGGCAATCCTACGGCCGGTTGTGCTACTAGACTCACCGACAACGAAGGAAGGCGGTGGCGGCAACGGTTGCATTCTCGGAACTGATGGCATCCATGTAAATATGGGTGGGACCCAAGATGATGGTGGCGCGGATGAAGAATTTGCCGTGGTGAATCCGGAACTCGGCTGCTCGCTTGAGAGGGAAAGCGGCGCCAGAGAGGTGGAGGAAGCCGCGCTCAGCATAGAGGCGGCCGTCACCGGCGTAGAGACGGCGGCAGCGACAGTAAAGCTGACGGCGGCGGCGGTTCTGTCGGAAGACATAGGGCCGAAAAAAAAATAGGTAGGTTAAAACCCTAGTGCTCTTGATACCATGTGAGAATAATGGAATGAATGGCTCAATATGGTAGCTCTGGGTCTATATTATATAGAGAAGTGTTTAGAGTATATTAGGAACCATAATATAAAGGAATCCTAATAGAAGGAAACTACTAAATAATAATTACTCTATTACCCCACACGTTCCTCTCTCTAGCAATTCCTTTCCCCTTCTATTAACTAGTGTCCAGTAATTTTTTATTATAGCAGTATACAATGGCGGGTCCATAGATTTGTGAGAGCGAGGTCACACTAGACACTAAACTTAGTCTATAATAAAAACTTTGTGTCCGAAGCGGGCACTGATTTTTACCAAATACTACTAGAGCACATGCCCCCTAGCCCCCCTTAGGTCCTCCACTGGGCAGTATATCATGATACTTTACAAAATCATGTAGCTTTGTTTATTGAAAGTGTTCCTATAGTCCATAGATTGATTAATTATCGTATATCTTAAACCAAAGAGTTTTCGATTACTTTTTTTAATTCAAGTCCCGACTTTAAGTCTATTAAATTAGATATTGCTTCCAGAATGGCTCTTAGAATAACTTTGTGAAGATAACTCCTTCATATATACAAGAATCTTGGCTTTTTTTAATTCTCTCATCGAGTTATATTATCATAACTTCACAATTCACATGTAATACTCGTATGATGTTCAGAGCAAAAATAGGCCGCAACCTTTAATTTACATGGCACCATTAATGATGATACGAGTACTATTATTGTTATCATTACTTTTCTGTTGCGATCGCTCTGCAGCCCAGCCGCCGCCGCCGTCGTCATCGGCTCCAATAATACCTTCATGCAATGTGAACTTTATCAACGCCTCTTGCTATAACGCCACCACGCACAAACCACTGTGCGTGGAGTCTCTGACCCCATACGCCGACTACATCGGCGGAAGCAAGCGGCGCATCGCGCTGGTGGCGCTATGCCTGAGCCGAGCCAAGGCTCGGGACGCCGCGAGCTTCGTCGTGGCGAAGCTGAAGGAGCCGAAAAGGAACTTGACGAGGATGGAGTTCGGCGCTATGAGGGACTGCCAAGAGGAAATGAAGGGCTTGGATGAGGAGCTGAGGCCGTCCATCACGGAGCTCGGGCAGGCGAAGACGGGCAGCCCGGATGCGTTCGCGGGGCACATGGGGAACGTGCAGACGTGGGTCAGCGCGGCGTTGACCGATATTGACACGTGCTTTGAGGGGCTGCCCCGGGGATCGGAGCTGAGGGGCGAGGTTGAAGGTGCGGTTTCGTGCGTTTATGACCTGATTAGCAACGCACTGGCCTTGATCAATGACTTTGCTGCTTCAAGAACTCATGCAAATTCCTGCAAAAAGCCACACCATCTCCTTACCCAGCTTCCTCACCCTTAAGATAACTCACCCCACCCCTGCAAAAACTGTCACAAATTAAATTTGTACTTGACATGCATGTATTATACCTTAGAATCTGGAAAATATGTATATATGTATGCTTTAGGTAGACTTCTTTTTTTGTTTTAGGTCCGATACAGAGTCGATACAGTCACTTCAGTCAAAACTACATAATTTTCACCAGAACTTCAACCGATTTCAGTGTTATCGAACGGGCTCTTAATGGATCAATAGTGATGGAGTTTAATTCCAACTACGAGAGCTAATCTACGAGAGCAGATGAAATTTAGGCAGCATAAGGCAGTATTATTATTTCGGATTTCGAATCCTTTGTAGGATGTGTACATGAAGTATTTATAGACCTTAAGTTCTAGTATTCTAAGAGGAAACTAATAAATTTAATGTGTTTAATCATAATAAGAGTCATGTAACGTCTCGAACATTGTGCAATCATTATCCCTCTAGGATTCTAGGTCCATATTTCTTCCGTTATTTCTTGTCGCTGTCATATAGTTATGCTCAAACGATAGCCTGCCACGTAAGCCATAGGATGAATCCAACCTCGCTAGAGTTCCACCTAGGCTCGAGGTCTGTCGTCCAGCCCGACCTGATTATGGCTTCCTTCCACGGGTCAGAATCCTAATTAGGTCTAGTGGATGTTATTAATTATTAATCCTGATTAATGGGCTTATTTCGTTGATGGGCTTAACTTAAAATGATCTTCGGGTCATGGTGATGGCCCAACCCAAAGTTACGGGACTAAAACTGCAATTTTCTCATTCTTATACTCCCTTTGTCCCATGATGAAGTTCTCGTTTCAGTTTATGATGTTTGATTGACGATAAAGCACATCAATCCCTATAAACACTCAGATTATTTTTACAAAATACGAAGTAAAATTTACATATATAGAAACTACATTAAAAATTCTAAAAAAATTGCAAAACCAAAAATCAAATTTGATAACAATTTGATATATATAAAGTAAAAGATTAAGAGTGATTTAAGTTGATCATTGTTGGAATATATATATTATCTCGGTTTGCTACTGCTCAAGAGCTCAAGGTATTACCCCAGTATGAAGTTCGACCAATGAGGCCCATTTCACCCTACTTGACCCACTTCGGCCTATCCGGCCCACTTTGTCCCATTTGGCACATTAGAGAGGATTTGCTCCCCCTCCCCCTTTTTCCTATTTAAAGAAGGCTTTCCCTCCATGTTAAGGGAAGACTCTTCTTCCCCTCTTTCCTTCTTCTCCACTACCTCTTTCTCTCTCTAGACAAAGCTTGAAATACTCCATTAATGGGAGCTTTGTGCATTTAACAAAGGTGACGAGAGACTAATAAAAGGAGAGTGACTTGGACATTAACTCAAAAAGTCCAATGGTTTTCTCTCTTTCATGTTTCCGCATAAAAACAGAGCACGCGTACATATTTATATATATATATTTACTATTTCGTGTTCAATTAGTTGTAACAACCATGTAAATAGTGAGCGTGAACTTCATTTTGGGATAGAGGTAGTATTTATTTATTAAAGACTTTGTTTTTAACTTATTATAGGATATTCAGAATTTTGTAATATAGCTAATTATGTAGTACTCCCACGGTTCCACTAATATTGTCTCATTTTACCTTTTCTAGAAAGCCTACTAAAATTATCTAATATCAAATTTGATAAAATTTGTGGGTCACTAAATCATTTTTACCTTATTCCTACTTTATCAATTAATACCAACCACACAAACTCACATTTCTTAATAACTGTGTCACCACCACCACCCCCGATATTAGTGTGTGTTGGAGGTAGATATTAGTGAGACTAAGGTAGTATAATTTAGTACTACGTACTACATTTGTAATTTTTATCTACAAATTTTGTTAAGATTATTTTGATAAAAAAGTATACAAGCAGTCTAGCTTTAAAGATAGACATATTTCAAATTTTATTTATGATTTATTTGTGAGTGTTTTAATTTCCTTATTTCATTGCATTTTCCTTTTACTATTTCTAATCAACAACTCCTGTATACAATTATTTTGTAAAATATTACTCCATCCCAAAAGAAATTTCCCATTTTCCTTTTTGGTCAGTTCCAAAAAATACTTATCGCTTTCCCTTTTTGGACAATTTGTGTGGCTCACATTCATTTTATTTTCTTACACAACTACAACAACACATTATCACTTTATTCCACTTTCTTAATAAATGTGTCAATTCAAATCGGGAAGTAGTTTTTGGGATGGAACGAGTACTACCTAATATGAAGACATGATTTCAATTTTCGTCTAAGACACCAAACATACTAAAGACACGGCCCAAGTTAAATTCATTTGAATTTAAATGAAAGGTTCTTAACTCGATCTTGTGTGTTATATATTGACTATATAGCTTGAATATGTCTTGCTTTTGAGTACTATTATTGCCGTTCTAATTTATGTGTCTTGTTTTGATTTGATGTAGTTATTAATGATACAATTTCCTCAATAAGACTAAAATATGGATAAAGTTCATAAGTAGAACTATCAATGTTTCATTCTCAACATAGGGCTCACTCACTCCTTTTTTGAAAAGTTTTAATCAAGTTATTATTTTAATAGCACTAAAAAATATTTTGCGAATAAAACAAACTTAGTCCTATTTTTTAACGTTGTGTATGTTTTAGTCCTATATTGAGCAATTTCAAACCACATACTCCGTATTTCTATCTTTAAACAGGAAATATGATATTTACTTTGACAATATTAAAAAGAAACTAAGACAGATAAAATAGGATGGATGACCACTACATAAAACAAATACGGAGTATTAATTAACTATGCAACTTTTGTTGTCAAGAAAACTATGCAACTTTTAGATACCTGTTGCACTAACGCAGAGTTGTTATACCGTGGGAGCGGTGCAGGGTGAGCACCCTGCTCCCACAGTTATATGAAATGTAAAGTGTGAATTAATCAACATGTAACTTCAGGTTAATCAAAATGTTAATTACATTCTATTGGAAAAATGTGTTAAAAGTTGCATTAAATGGTGATTTTGGAGCAATATTTTGAGTGGGGTCCACTTCCGATTTGGGTCGGGTCAAAGTGGTTTCTGATTGACCTTGTTAAGGGCTACAATTCGATATATGGTACGCTCAAAATGGATAACGGGTGAATGAGAAATTGATTCTCGAAGTTCACTCGTTGAAATGGAAAAATTGGGAAAATGATGGGTTTCTAGTGTGTTTTATACCACACCGAAAAACTCAAGCGATTTTCACCCCCTTATAAAGGGAACCCTTTTTTAAGTAGCTAAGATTCCTAAAGGTAAATACTCTCTCTTGCGCATGGGGGGTGCGGATCAAATCCCGAAAATGGAGAAGAAAAACCGCAACTTGCGTGCGTGGGCGACCTGCGGACACGAATGTCGTCCAAAAATCTACCATTCAAAGATACGATTTAATCTTTGCTTCTTCCCGTAACGGTTCCAGTTTTCCAGAAATGCAACAAAGGCCTAGGGGGTTCTGTTGTGCACAACAGAATACCTCGAGGGGTTCTCTGGTCGCTTCCAACAGAATAACTCGAGGTGTTCTGTTCGCTCCGGAACCAGAAGGTTGTGTGGTGTTCTGTTGCGCAACAGAAGACCTCGATGTCTTGGTCTTCTGGTATGTTACAGGACTTAATGTCCAACGTTCTTCTCCATTAATGTGCGCTTTTGAACAGTTTTCGACATATTAATGCCCAACATGCTGGACATTTATGTGCAACGTTGAGGTCCATTATAGCTTAATTAACACATAACAAATCCTCCTATAAAAAGCTGGCATGTGCTTTGCAACATGAGACACATTCACAAACGAACTCACGCACTTTTGAGCTCTCGAAAAACACTGCTAACATTCTGAAAATTTCCTTCTGTGTTCATACTTATTTCCATTCGCTGGAACTTTTGTTTGTGTGCTCAAACAATAGTTCGTAGTCATCGTATCCTAGGAAACGATTCTTGCAACGCTCCTAGCACTGTGGGAGGCAACGAATACATTTTAAGAACGTTGTGCGTAGCACAAGCTTTTACTAATTTCTGCTCCTCTCATTTCTGCTCCTCTCATTTCTGGGTTTAAAACAAACGAAAGTGACAAATGCGTCTATGTGAAAAGAACAGTAGATGGCTATGTCATTTTATGTTTATACGTGAATGATATACTCATCGTGGGTAGCAATAATTTAATGATTGATTCTACCAAAAGCATGTTAAATTCTAAATTTGACATGAAGTAACTGGGACTGGCCGATTTAATCCTTGGGATTAAAATAATTAGGGGACCGGATCGTCTTACGCTAAGCCATTCCCACTACGTCGATAAAATCCTTACGAAATTTAATAAGGATGATTATCAAGAGGCAAGGACTCCATTAGATAAAAACGTACATCTTACCAAAAATCGTAGAGAGTGTATTTCTCAAGTAGAATACACTAGGATTATTGGAAGCTTGATGTGTCTAGCGAGTTATATCAGGCCTGATATTGTCTTTGTCGTTAGCAAGCTGAGTAGATATACCAGTAACCCCGGTGATGAACACCGGGAGGCAATAGTAAGGGTTTTGAGGTATTTACGTAAAACCCAAAACCTTGGACTGCACTATGGAAGATATCCAGCTGTACTTGAAGGGATTAGCTTACAGAGGCTACAGGAACTATACGGAGTGATCTTCAAACCTTTAAATTCGAGATTTTTGAGAAGCTCACTACCGGTGGAAGTGGCATGGGACGCAGGATCGTGTCCTCATCTGATTAGGAGTGACAAACATTTTAAAACATTTTTCCAACATTTTTTTGGATAGAAGGGCACTACTTTTATTACTTCTCTTGCACTGTTTTGGTTATTTTCCGTTTCCTTTTAGTTGATGCCAAAAGGGGGAAATAATCAGGTGCCTTCTCTGATCACTGATACACTCAAACTGCTATGTTTTACTTAAATACTAATCAGCAAGAACTCTCTTGGTACCTAAGGTTTGTCATCAACAAAAAGGGGGAATTTGTTAAGTATTTAATTTTGTTGATGACTAAACCTCACACAGGAACAGGGATAGGTGCCCTCGACTGCAGAGGACTAGCCGAGGGCTCTTAGTGCCGAGGACCCCTGAGTCCCGAGGGCTCCAGGTGCCGAGGGCTACTGTTTTCGCCGTTTTCTTCCAGTTCCTCTGTTTGTTCGAAATATCCATGATGTGATGGTTTGGAGCCTTCGGCCAGGGGGCCGAAGGCACCCCTGGTGCGTATTGCGGGCTGCTTGGTACTCTGTGCGCCGTGATTTGGGCCTGTTGGGCCTTCTGGGCCTGTTGGGCCTCTACTGGAGTAGTAGGAGTCTGTGGGGTGGGTGTTCCCGGGCCATATACTCCATCAGAAGTCCCTCACTCCTTTTGCCGAAAGGTATTTGAGGGAAAAGGAGTAATCTGTGC